ATCTATCTATCTATCTATCTATCTATCTATCTATCTATCTATCTATCTATCTATCATCTGATGTGTTTCTCACCAAACATTCTGCTTCAGAAATGTGGAAGTGTGGCATCCATACCCATCTGTGAAAAGCAGCAGAGAGTAGGGCAGCTCGCATGCTTGGCCTCTCTTCTTTTCCTGACCTGGCTCTTTTCTGTGAGGATACCTCTCTGTTATTGTCTTCTCACAATCAAAGGCTTCCGTAGGCCTCATGACCACCACCATTCAGCAGCAACAGAGTTCAGCTGGCCAGAGCATCTGGCCACAGGACTCCATGCCGTACAGCGGAGTGAGGAGATGGGGCTGGTACCCAGCACAAGTGCTTTGAGGAAAGGAACCTAGGAGTTCTCTTGTCTTGTGCCTGTTTGGGGTGGGTTGGTAGGGGCAGAAGAGAGGCTTTCGCTGTGTAAATGGGTACTTCCCACACTTGGTCAGGCCAGCTGTGCCTTCGACAGTCTACCGGTACGTCACTTCTGTGGAAAGTTGTCCTTCACAGGGTTCACACACTATTCCACCAGCAGTGTGAGCATAAGCAGAGAAGGGAACTAGTGCACATACTATTCTGGGTACAGCTCAACAACAAGGCCTGATTTTCAGGGTGCTTCTAAAACCAGGAGGCTGAGCTTTCTGTTAGCTGCCGGCTAGGCAGCTACCTACCAGGTGGAAGGAAGGGCTTGGGGTCTCAGCGAATGTCACTCCAGTAGCACTCAGACAGTCTTCCTGCTTTCACTAGCTTAGAGACCAAAGGGACTAAGATGAGCAGCCCTCCCTGCTTCACCCTTCCCCCTCCTTGCTTTGAGAATCATCTTAGGGCCTGATAATACCTCAGGGAGTTTTTGCACAAAGGACAAGAAATGGTCAAGCCATTCCTTAAGCCTCCAATACTCTGAGATGCTCTGTCCACAGAGTGGGTACAGGGTCAGACTGGCAAAACCACTGTGGCTTCTGGCCTCTGCTATCATACTGTCACCAGATTTTGAAAGCACCTGTACTGTCTCCTTTTAGAGAAGAGATTACAGTGTCTGGCAGGCTGTTTCAATGCATAGATGTTCTAAAAAATTAGGAATGTGATTCTTATATCAGGAACAGCAAAAAGGGTGCTTATACTTATTTGAAAAAAAAAGTCTCACTAAATAGAGTCTTAACTCTGCTGGCAGAGGGGTACAAAAGAAGGCTAGAAAGTATTAATTTTCCAGAAATTTCATCAGCTCTGATAATAATTGGTGATAATTATAGCAGAAAGGGTGATAGAGAATGACTGGCCATTTCCAGATCTTAGCCTGTTCCCTAAATACCCAGCTTCCCTTTTCTGGTTTGGTATCTGGAGAGAAAGAGAGATCTGGTCTTCTCGATACCACCAGCCAACTCAGGCACTCGACTCCACAGACAATTGCTACCAAATCCTCTTGGAATCAGTCCATCCACCAAAACAGCAGGCTTACTGAGACTGTGCTGACAGATGTGGAGCAGTCGGTAAACAGACAAGATCTTTACTGCGTGGGTTTGGATGCTACAATAGACTCAGGAAGAGTCTGGAGCGACTGGCAAGATGTCACAGGAGGACAGAAAGCTGCTTGTGTAGATACACAAAGCATGGTGGAACCAGGAGGAAGCCACAACAGCATCGAGGTAGGCAGGACTGCACCCAGCTGTTTTCTGTGTAGCTATGTGGACAGTATTAGCTGGTGTCTCCAGTGAAGTCTTGAACCTCCTCACAGCACTCTTGTCCCCTGGCTACCAAAGGTGGGAGGTCGTCTCTGGAGTCCCTTAGTGTTATGATTTAGAAGTATAAAGTCTTTACAGGCTCATGCAATTCAATACCTGACCTCAGTTGGAGGCTCTCTTTGGAGGCGGTAGAATTTTTAGTAGGTGGGGCTAGCTGGAAGACAGGAATACTGAACACTAGAGGCCACAGGGTTATAGCCTTGCGCTGCTTCTGGACTCATACTCTCTTTATTTCCTGGTACCATTTGGTACCATTTATTGTGCAAACAACAGGGATCCTTTTGCTTTTGTGAGAATTTAGCTAGTTGTGATGAACCACAGGTCCTTAAGCATAAGGAAAAGAGAGAAAGAAAGAAAGAAAGAAAGAAAGAAAGAAGGAAAGAAAGAAAGAAAGAAAGAAAGAGAGAGAGGGAGAGGGAGGGAGAAAGGGAGGGAGGGAGGGAGGGAGGAAGGAAGGAAGGAAGGAAGGAAGGAAGGAAGGAAGGAAGGAAGGAAAGTAAGTTAGTTTTCCAGGGAGGTGTGGGTGGGCTTGGTCTGGCCAGGAGGATGACTTTTGGGGAAGCATCCAGAACAAGATAGGGCATCAGGATGTGGGGAGAAGGAGCAGATGGAGAAGGGAACAAGCCAGAAGAGGAACAGTAAGGCCCTCACCACCCTTCCCATCACTGCCCTTGGACTCCTGCTTGTCTCACCCATGACTCAGTACCTGGGTTCCTGGTTTCAGAGATGCTACAAGGTCTCTGACCATTTTGGCTTCCGAGACTGTGACACCGCCCACCACAAAGAGGATCAGGAGGGGATGGTCACTGGGATGGGGCCGGCTCACCTGAAAAACAGAGAACATCAAGTCAGACAGCAGCAATGGCTCCTGCTTTCCTCCTGCTGGTGGGACAGAAACCTTAGAGCAATAATGGTTTATTGTCATCCAGATGTGCCAATGACTTGAGACTCCACAGGCTAGGATTGCACAGCATGGGACCTTAGCACATCCTTACAAAAATGCTTTACTGAAAGGAGGGTTAAGGGTGCTGGAGCCATCAAATATGAGAAGGGCCGAGGGATACCTTGTTGCTTATCCTTGTTCAGGACTCAGTGTACACTTGTCCTTCTTTGTCCCGTAGCTCTGCCTCAGCTACCATTATGGCCTTTATGTATTTCTTTCGTGCATCTCCTCTGCTAAGGTTGACTCTACCAGAGCAGGCAGGCTGCTTAGATCCCTGCTGCCTGCTGTGCTTACCTTTTTAAAGCACAGAATTGGTGTTCTATCACTGTCTGTGGAACTAACCCATTTGTTTCTGGTGGTGGGGTGGAGGTTTCAGATCTATGCGGGTATAGGGATCTATAGGCCACCCTCATGGAGATGAAAGCCTGGCATGAGTTAGAACCAGACACTTCATCAAACCAGCCATAGCCAAAAACCTACTCTACACAAATACTGCATTAACTGCTAGAGAGATTCTTTCTTCCTGGCTTTTTGTTTGTTTGTACAATTTCACCCATGAGACAAAATTATATACTAAAATGAGAAGTGCTCTCAGGAAATGCAAAATGATCCACAAATTGATCTGGTGATGAGGACAGTAAGGGAACAAGAGAGGGGTCCTGAAGGCAGTGTGTGTTTTCCTAAGGAATGAGCTGGACAAATGGCATGGGCCACGCTATACAGATAAGAAGTAGGCAGTCGTGTGGAGCAGCTCAAGACCCAGCCAGGACCAAGTATGCATGGGATTGCCTGGAAAGGGTGATCAACTGCCTGAATGGCCACGAGAGCCAAGGGTAAGATGAAGCCATAGGCTTCCCCTCCGGCGAGAGAGGGCAACAACAGAGTGAGTGTTTTCAATCACTGATGTATAAGTCACCAAAGGGCCTTGGATTGTCCCCAAAAGCATCAGGATAGGCCATTGGGCCATGAAGAAACCCAGAAGGAAGAAGAGAAGCAAGGGAGAAAGGCAGAGGAGAAAAGGAAGGAGGAAGGAGGAAAGCTAAAGGGTCTTCATGGTAAGTACTGGTGAATACAGGAGCAAGTCACAAAGCCAAGGAGGTCCGCATGCCTTCCTGGCCTCCTGCTTTGCCTTTGGTCTGCCCATTGTCCTGCCCTCTGTTTCTTCTAATCCACATACCACACATTTTCAGCAGCTTTGCTGCTAGCCCACCAGCTCCCGGGGGTCACTCGCACAAGTCTCCAATAGCTATCATAGTGTCAGGGGTCATGGACACCTTCTGGTTTCATCTAATGGTATGTTTATGTGGCATCTGTCAGTTGATGACACCCCACTTGACTTCTGTGGTGACACTCTGTTGGCTGTTCCTTCCATCTTTGTCTTTTGTTCTCAGAGTTCATCAGTTCTTGCTCATGGTCTGCCCCTTTAAATGCTGATATCACTGAGGCTCCTTCACCCATGACCCCTTCCTCTTCTCACTCAGTCCATTGTCCCTGAAGGAACTTCTCATCTGTGTGTACTTCCTGAACTGAGCTCTCTGGATATCACCTCCTGAACACCCCCGATTCCCTGATTCCTCTAATTCTGTTCTCTTGTGTTACTCAGGATACCATTGCCTGAGGCACACACCATAGTCCTCTTAGAGTCCACTTCCTTTTCATCCTCTGGTCAAGTTGTGTCCATGCTGCCCCTGGCTGTCACTGACAGTCCCCTACCCTCAAAATTTTTGCTTGTCAGTGGATCATTGTGAAAGCTCTTTACTTTGTTCTATCCCTGGTGTTGCCATTCCCTATTTCTTCTTCATCTTTTTGTCCTGTAATCTTTCTTATTTTTAAAGTACTTTTAATTATTTTAAATATTAGGTGTGTATATACGTGCATCTGTGTACATGAGTGCAGGCTCCTATGAAGGCCAAAGGCATAGAATCCCCTGGAATCATGGTAGCTGCCCATCATGGGTACTGGGAATTGAACTCTGGTCTTATGCAAGAGCATTATGTGGCCCTAACCATTGAGCCGTCTCTCCAGCCCTGGCCTTGTAAGCTTTCTGTTATACTACTATTTAGTGTCAACTATATAGCAAGTGCTTCATCATTTATGTGTGTTTCCATGTAATTCTCAAAAGTCCCTAGAAGACAATCACAGTGGACAATGCAGATGAAGAAATTATACCTTGGTGTCAGGGGCTACAATGTAAACGCTACTCAGTTCCATCACAAGCTCAGTCTTTGCACAATTGCACTCTCCTGAGGATGATACAGTCTCCCCACGTCAGAATGTAAGGCTCTTTGCTCTACGCCTCCAGTTCACCCCCATAAATCCAGTAGTTCCTGGAGCCATTTATGATGACTTGTACTGTGAACAAACCCATGCTTTCCTGTTCTCTCTCGTGAACATTTTGTTGAATCTATGACATGCAAATGCTGCAGGGTAAGTTTATCACAGGAGTCCAACTCAATTCATTTTCACAGAGTTAGCAGTCCTGTGCGATCCACACAGAAAAATGAAAAAAATCAATACTTGAATCCCTCTCCAGTCCCTCTGGTCACCTGTTCTAACACCCTGCACGGTTCTTTTTCTTTGCTCACCTAAATACCTGTGATGTTTCCAGGGCAAGAGGAAGGCAGTGTGGTCTATGGTAGACCACAGCAAAAGGCTTTGTCCTATGTCAGTGCCATGGCATTCCAGTTCCTAAGTGTTGCATGCATCGTGCTGTCCTAAGCTGCATTTAGTCTCCTCTGTGGGGAGTGTCCTCACCTCCCCCTTTGCTGGCCCCCCCCACGCTTTCTTAAAAACATTCCTCTCCCAGGCCACCTCCTACTCCTGTTCCACGGTTGCTCTCTGTCAAGCTCTTCTATCTTGACCTTGGCAAACCAGCTTGCTGTTCCACCATAGCCACCCTCTCCTCTCGCTCTTGACCTTGGCATTTTTGGTGCTGAGCACAGTATCTCTCACGCAGAGAGCTTTCAGTAAGTGTTACATGGGGAAAAGAGATAAGCCAGGCTGGTGAGATGGATCAATGGGTAAAGCTGCTTGCCACACAATCTCGGCGACCTGAGTTTGGTCTCTGGAATCCACACAAAGGTAGAAGCAGAGATCTTCACACACATGCTGTTTAACAGGTGCCCCACCCGCACGCATCACAAGCCCACACACAACAATAACAATAGAAATAATCATAGTAATAAATTAAATAAAAATACAGAGTAAATCTTAGGACGTGCAAGCTGACAGAAGATTTCCTTGCTTTCTTAGAGACTTAAAAGAGCTTTAAATTAAAAAAATATTTTCTTTGTTCTTCGAGACAATTATTTTTTCCCCTATGTAGGGCTGGCAGTCCTGGAACTCACTCTGTAGACCAGGCCGGCCTTAAACTCACATAGAGATGTCTGTATCTTCCTCCCGAGTGCTGGAATTAAAGGTGTGCACCACAAACGCCCAGCTCAAGACTTTATTTTTTAAATACTATTTTCTTCCTTCTCTCTTCTTCTAATCCATGCCATCTACCCTTTCTTGCTCTCTCTCTCTCAAATTAATATATAGTAATTAGTATCTATATATTTAAATATATAAATACAACCTTCTCAGGCTGTATAATATCACTGTGTGTATATGATTTCAGGGCTAGGCACTTGGTATTAGATAATAAACTGGTATGCTCTTCCCTGGGAAAGACTCCTTTTCCCACTGTGTCCCGTAGTTGCCTAGGGTTAGGACCCCATGAGATCTCCCCCTTCCATGTTAGCATGTCTGTCAGTGCCATCCTGCTTAGACAGGCATGCTAATGAGACTTCATCAGGGTAGCTTCTTTGACACTTCTGACTGCTTGTCCCTCTGGCTCTTACAGCCTTCACCTTCCCTCACTCTTAGTGATGCCTGAGCCTCGGGAGGAGGAGTTGTGTTATAGATATATCAGCTAGGGTGGGACACTGCGTGGTCCCTTGTTCTCTGCATTTTGATGGGTTGTAGTTTTCTGCTTAGAGAGCAGTACAGAAAACTACAGAGACTTCTGAGAGCCACTTTGTCTAGGTTATACTGGTTTTCTGTCTCAGTAACTAGACCCTGAGAAACCTCTGAGCCCCACAGACAACTGCTGTTTCTCACTCGATCCCAGGACAGAAATACAACTGGATCTGGAACTTTAGCAGGCACAGTATGTTCCTTAAGACATATGCTTTCCATAAGAGAGTTTGGAATCTGAAGTGCATGCCAAGAAACTTGGAAGGACAGAGCAGAAGATGAAAAGGGGGAAGAAAATGAAACGCACAGCAACAACAAAGAGCAAGTCCCTGGGGCTAAGAAGTGGAGGGAGTGTTGGTCTACGCACAAATACATGGGCCCAATTAATGCATGTTGGTGTTTGCTATTTTGGTTTCAGTTTAGATTTATGTGTTGATACCAGACTTTCTCTTCGGAGCGTGGCAGGCCAGCAGGCTGCTGGGAAGTGGAGCCATTCCCATCCCAATCCCGCATTCCTCACAGGCAGCTGTACATGACTGCATTCCATCTGCGTGTTAGTCCGCAGGGTGACAATCTGAAGACTGACACAGCATGTCACTGCACATTCAGGGCATAATAAAGCACATGGAGCCTCTGCTTTCTGTCACTTAGTGAGCCTCGAAGGACTATGATTTGAGGATGTTGGCTCTGGTCAGGGAACATGGTTTCCTCCCCCACTGCACCCAGATTTTCAGTGCAGATTATGGGGCCTCTGCAGGTGTGGACTCTGGGAACACTCTGATGTCTGGATTGGCTTCCATGAAGGAGATGTCAAAATGAGGATCCTGTCACTTCCAGTGTTCGGGGTTTTTCAGGCATTCTGGGAATCCTGCTGCTGAGTCCTCTCCACATACTGTTTCTTTACTCAATTTCTCTCTATCTGTGAT